CTGACGTGGCGGTTTCAGGGTTTGTACTGGGTTAATCTTGACCGTTGGATTGTTTACTTTTTGCGATCAGATGAAACGGATCCTGGAGACAGTTGTCGTGTTGTGAAACAAATTCTGAAATACAGATTTGATTTTGGGGGCAAATTTGGTAATCATGTTGCTGAGAAAGGATTTTTTTGGGGAGTGTCGTAGCTCGCGTGGGTTCACACGTGTTGTTCTTCTCACCCCCAAGCGTGACTGCCAAACAAAATTTGAAATGTTTTTTTTTTTTCTTTCTTTTATCACGTTATTTGTGATTGTAAAAAATAAAATTGCTCAAAACTAAAACCAATTACCCATAACAAAAAAAACTTTAAAAAATCAGTTTTTGATACATGGCAGACTATATCATTAAACAATAATTTGGAAACAACCCCACCATAAACTTTTAAAATAAAAAAAAAGTGATTTTGATAAACTTGTTAAAACGCAAAACCAAATTAAAGCGTTCGACAAAACCGGTCTAAACCCATATTATATAACGAGAGAGTTTTCTCTCCTCTTAAGATGTCGACATCATCGTTAAAAAACATTCATCTTATAAAAAAAGTAAATACATTAAAACTAAAATTTAATGACTCAATTAGTTTTATATTTTAATTATTGTTTTTTATTAATTACCACACAGCATAAAATTAAAAATTTACATAAAACAAAAATTAAAAAACAGTACAATACAATAAAAATAAATAAAGATTACAAGAACTAAAATAACAAATTTGATACAAAATTTAATATAAATATTTCCAACGTTAAATTTGATTAAAATTCTAGATAAATCATACATCTTTTTAAGTACAAAAACAATATGAGTCTACGGTAAAGATTATGTTTATTTCATAAACTTGAAAAATTTGTAAAATATGCATATAAAAAAATAAATGATTAAAATTATAGATAAATAATATGAGACAATTCTAAAAGAATAGGAACCAAATGATGATGAATGTTTGAGGCAATGTAATAGAGTGATTAAAATGAAGATTGTGAAGTAGGAAATGTGATTAGATAGTAAAAATTTGACGTCTGCTGAAAGATATGAACAACTTCACTACAAATATATGAAAATCAATATATAGTCTAACATGTTATATGTGAGCAAAGGGAATGTGAAGAGAGAACAGATTCAAGAAGGAGAACAAATGTGTCTTCGAAAATGTAGAAAGTTAAATGAGATAAATAAGTGTTTGAGCTTAAAAATACGTAGGAAGGAGACAAATATAAAACTTTCATATTCTTATTAGTTATTACTATGTGAAATGAATTTTTTTTTATAAAAATATTCTACCTATATTAGTAGACTAGGTTATTGGATTCGAAACCAGACTACATTTTGTTTAGTATGGTAGGTTGGATGGGAAAAACATTTTGACTTGATAAAAAAGCCTTATAACATTTTGTGTTTGCTTTTAAGTGCTAAAGCGTACTCGCCGAATCCGTTGTGATTGCATAGAATTATCTTCTAAAAATCAAATTATTATATTTATAGTTTATGATTCATTTTTGACATATTGAAAATGATATCCCACGCAACGCGTGGGTATAAATCTAGTAGATTTAAATTTCAAAGTCAAACTAACAATACTTACTTTATCAAAAGAAAGGTTCACTTTGGAAAACAATTAACACATGCATGTCATCAATTCTTCAAACAAAAAAATCGAAATTTTCTATTGGTTCACTTCACGTTTTCAATTTCAATTATAATGTTAAATGCTTTATTTATTTAAAGAGTGTGTTTAAATTTCCACACAAAAAATTGTAGTGGCATAAGAAATATTCTTGCCGATGCTTTGATACTATTGAAATTTGAGAGCTTTATAATTTCTAACTTTTTTAGTCGGAAACTCCAAATGTCCACACTAAGGCAAATGAAGAAGTTTGTACTACAAACAATGAGGGAAAGACTTGGTATTTGTCGGATGTGTGACTCCTCTAGTGAATTTTCTTTTATAATTCTCTTTAGACAATTGTTAGAAATTTTAGAAATCACATTATCCTGAACACCCATATGGATATGTGCCATTGCTTTTGGCCCATTTGTATATCCGGAGAGAGGGTCTATCCATGGGCTGCACCTCCCCCAGGGATTAGTCTGGGTCCTTTGACCTAAAATTTACCTTGAGTTATC